AAGAAGATAAATCCTAAGACTAGTGTGGTTGGTTTTAGGACCCTCCAATTGATCCAGGATGATCTCATCTTGAGATCCTTCATCTGCAGAGCACCTTTTCCCAAATAAAGACACATTCACAGGTACCAGGTCTTAGGATTTATCTTCTTGAGGGCCACTATTTAACTCCTTGTACATGGTGTCTTAGTCCATTCTGGTTGCTATAACAAAATACCACAGTGAAATAGACCCAGAAGTGGGGGACCGGAAGTAAGGGGGCTGCAATTTTAGTGTGGGAGACTAGAGAATGCCTCAGTGTGGTAACATTTGAGCAAAGACCTAAAGATGATGAGGCAACAAGCCATGATGTTAGTGAGAAGAACATTCTAGATGGGTGGCTTATAAACAGCAGAAATTTATTTTTCACAGTTCTGGTGGCTGGGAATTCCAAGATCAAGGTGTCAACGTGGTTGGATTTTGGTGAAGACCCACTTCCTGATTCATAGCTGGTGCCTTCTTCATTGTGTCATTACTCAGTAGAAGGTGCAAGGGAGCTTTCTGGGGTCTCTTTTATAAGAACACTAATCCTGTTGGTGAGGGCTCTATGCTTTTGACTTAAAGCATCCCTAAAGGACCCACCTCCTAATCCTATCTTGTCAATTTTAGGGGGATGCAAACATTCAAACCATAGCACATGGTAACTGAAATTATGCATATCAGGACTGTAAAGCAGGGCTGCCTGTACCATTTTGATGGATATCCATGCTATTTCTAGCTGTTGGCTATTCTGAATATTTTTTAGAATTCCATTTTAACTTACAGCTTTTTAGCTTTTTCTTTTTTTTAATGGTTTTTCTTGGGGCTACAATATAATCTTAAATTTTTCACAGGCAGAATTAATATTCCTATTGTCTTATGTAATATGCAGTTACCTCATTACCATCCTTTGCACTACAGATATAATGAGCATATGTTATATTTATATATGTTAGAACCCCAGAAGGTAGTAATGTAATTTTTTAAATTTCAACTTTATTTAGGTATAACTGACAAAATCGTAAGATGTTTAAAGTGTACATCATGGTGATTGAATATATGTTGTGAAGGGATTTCCCCCATCTAGTTAATTAACACTTCATCATCCCATATATCTTTTTGTGTGTATGTGTGTGAGAACTTTGCTCTACTCTGATAGCAGGTGTCAATGATATATACAGTGTTATCAACTATAGTCAGTCACCATGTTTTATATTATATCCACCTCATAGCTGAAAACTTATTACCCCCTATGTTTATTTTTTCAGGTCTTATGTTCAAGTCTTTAGTCTGTTTTGAATTGATTTTTGTGCATGGTGTAAGAGAGTAGTCCAGTTTCATTCTTTTGCATGTGGCTGTCCAGTTTTCCCAACACTGTTTATCGAAGATACTGTTCTTTTCCCATTGTATATCCTTGGCTCCTTTGTCATAGATTAATTGACCATATATGTGTGAGTTTATGTCTGAGCTCTCTATTCTGTTCCATTGATCTATGTGTCTGTTTCTATGCTAGTTCTGTACCATTTTGATTACCGTAGCTTTGTAATATAGCTTGAAATCAGAAAGTGTGATGCCTCCAGCTTTGTTGTTCTTTCTCAAGAGTCTCAAGATTGCTTTGACTATTTGATTCCATACAAACTTTAGGAATGTTTGTTCTGTGAAGAGTGCCTTAGGGATTTCACTGAATCTGTAGATTGCTTTGAATAGTATGGACATTTTAATAATATTTATTCTCCTAATCCATGAATACATGCTATCTTTCCATTTATTTGGGTCTTTATTTCATCAGTATCCTAATAGTTTTCAGTGTACAGGTCTCTCACCACCTTGGCTAAATTTATTCCTAGATATTTTATTCTTTTTGATGCAATTGTAAATGCAATTATTTTTTTAACTTCTCTTTCTGATAGTTCATTGTTAGTATATAGAAAGTCAACTAATATTTGTATATTGTATACCCTGCAACTTTACTGTTATAATGTATGGGTGTAATGTTGTATATACATTAGAACCCTGCAAGGTACTAATATGATTTTTACCTTTAAAAACATGTATGTTTTTTTAAAGAGGAAAAAAGTTGTTTATACTTAGGGCATTGGAAATAGTAACTATCTTTCTTTGGTACATAATTCCTTCCAAGTGGTGTAATTCTCTTCAGCCTCAAGAACTGCCGTTAGCATTTCGTTGATCTGCTGGTAATGAATTCTTTTCTACTTATCAGAAATATTTTTCAACTTAAACTATATTTTCAAAAAATATGCAGAGTAGGGAAAAATTAGGTTTACAGTCATGAGTACGCAAAAGTTTATTCTTGTATTATTTATTGATTATTGTATTATTTTCCATATGACAAATGTAAACTTACTTTTGCCCCACCTGGTATTGGTCTGATCAGTTTGCCTCCTCTTTCAGTGAATAGAATTCTGGTTTAATAGATGTTTCTTTTCTTTTAGCACTTTGCAAATATTGTTCCACTATGATTAGGCCTCTTACCAACCTCCTCCTACCCCCCAGTTGCTACCCCAGCTCTGGCAACCATTTTTCTAACGAGTGGGACTTTTATTTTTTAGATTCTACATGTGATACCACACAGTATTTGTCGTTCTTATTCCACTTAGTATAATGCCCTCAAGGACCATCCATCTTGTCACAAAAGGACAGGACTTCCTTTGTTCTCATGGTTGAATAATACTGCATTGTATACTTAGGTTATTTCTGTATCTTGGCTATTGTGAATAAAGCTGCAGTGAACTTCTTGGTGCAGATGTCTCTTCTAACAGGCGTGAGGTGATATCTTATTGTGATTTTGGTTTGTATTTCGCTGATTAGTGATGTTGAGCACCTTTTCATGGGCCTGTTGGACATTCGTATGTTTTCTTTGAGAAAATGTCTAGTTAGTTCCTCTGCCCATTTTTATTTATTTTTCTGAGTTAATATGACTTCAGTTGCAATTTTAAAAAAGTACATAGGACATTGCTTTTCTCTCCCCAAGAGAAAGGCACTTATAAAAATAGATCTTATCTTTCTTTAAAAAATCATAATTAGACTAGCACTTTGAGTAGTTACAAGAATGTTTTGTCAATTTAAAAATTTTTTTAAATTTATCTTTATTGTTGAAAGTATTACAGATGTCCCCTTTTCTTTCTCCCCATTGACAACCCCCCTCCCTGGGCCCACCGAGGTCTTCACCACACTATTGTGTGTCATGGGTTATGCATATAAGTTCTTTGGTTAATCTCTTCCCACCCCTTCTGCCCATTTTTAAATGGATTGTTCTTGTTGCTGAGTTGTATTAGTTCTTTATATAGTCTGGATATTAACTCCTTATCAGATATAATTTGCAAATATTTTGTTACATTCAGCAGGTTGCCTTTTCATTTTGTTGATGGTTTCCTTTGCTGTGCAGAAGCTTTTAGTATGAGGTAACCCCACTTGTTTACTTTTTGCTTTTGTTGCCAAATGCAAAAAGATTATTGGCAAGACCCGTGTCTAGGAGCTTATTACCCCCTGTAGTTTCTGATAAGTCAGTGGTAATTCAGATTGTAATATATCATATCTCTGGGGTTTCTTTCAGTATTTTCTCCTGGGTTTCTTCAGTTATATATTTTACCTAGGAGTGGTTTTCTTCATATTATACTGGTCATTGTTCTCTGCATCTGTAAGTTTATGTCATTCACCAAATTTAGAAAAGTTTTGGTCATCAAATATTTTCTCTACATTCTTTTTTCCCCCCTGGGACTTTTGAATATTGTCCCACAGGTCTCAGGCTCTGTTCATTTCTTTTCATTCTTTTTGGGGGCAGAGTTAATGCATAGCATTTGGAGCACTGCTTCTCAGCCCCTTTCTTTGTGGGATGGCTTCCTCACTTTCCAGTGGCTGATTTCTTCCAGCTCTGTCTTTTGGTTCTTCAGGCCAGAAGGACTGGATTTTCCCATGGCAGTTTTAACCACCCTGCATAGACATACCCGGTTTTGGCCTCTTGGCTAAAAGCTATTTTTCCTATAAAGATAAATCACCTCTGCCATTCCTTCTTCCAGGTGTATAATCTCTTGAAGAATCCTCCTGCTACTGTTCATTCTCCAGTGCCTTCAGGTCTTTTTAAAATATTTGTGTTTCTAGATATCTGCAGGAAGGTCAGGTCTAGGAGAAACTTACTGAAAACAGAACTATATGTTACCCTTTTTAATGGTTCCTTTAAGTTGTACATTAATTACTAAAGGCTTGGTATTTTCCCATTTTTTCCTCATGTGATGTTACCATGTGTCCACCAGAGGGCAGGATTGGCAAGGCAAACGGGTTCAGCCTGTAGGAAGGAGCTCTGCTGGAGTTGTCCAAAAATTCTCATTATCACTGTTTCTATCTTCCCTGGCTTTAGTTTCCATTGATGACAGTGTTTTTATGCATTCCACAGACATTTATTGAGTACGCACTACAGATCAGGCACCTTCAAGCTAAGCACCAATGGAGGCTGTAGATTAGTAAAGATAATTTCATGGGAAATTGCAAAAGGGCAATTATGATACAGGTTTTCTGGTAACAAATCTTCATGAGAGGCCCAAACCAGATGTCACAAGAGGATGCACTTGGATCCACCTGGGTAGGAGTGTTGGGGAAAGCTGTGAAGTATGAATAGCGTCTCCATGTGTGTTGGAGGCTGGGGGTGGTGCACAGAATGACATGGGTGCAGAATGGCACAAATTTTGTGTTTGGGGAGCAGTGGGAGTGGTCACTGAGGTTGAAAGAGGTATGTAGAAGGATGCGGTAGGTAGGATCTACCACCACAAGGGAATTAGGAGACAGATTGGAGTCAAATCTAAGGTGGCAAAACAGGTAACCCACTGTTTGGAGATGTTACTCTGTGGTAGTGTAAAGAGGTTGGAACCTGGTGGGAGGGGAGGCCAATTAAGAAATGACCGGCAGCCCGGCTGGGCGTGGCTCAGCAGTTGAGTGTCAAGCTAGGATCCAGGTGATCAGGGTTCAATTCCTGGTCAGGGCACATGCCCCATCCCTGGTCGGGGGTGTGCAGGGGGCGGCCGATCAATGACTCTCTCATCATTGATGTTTCTATCCCTCTATCCCTCTCTTTTATTTTCTCTGACATCAATAGATGTATTTAAAAAAAAAAAAAAAAAAAAAAAAAAGGCAGGCACCAGAGGATGGCACCCCTACTAGCTTTAACAGTGTGGGAACTGAAAGGACAGGCCGATTTGGGAGGTGCTCTGTAAGCAGAATAGTTGGATCTGACAGCTGAGAACAAAAGGAGTGAAAGTAAAGTGGAGGCTTTTGCTGTAGGTGACCAGGTAAGGCTGGGGGAAGAAAAACTTATTTTTGGGGTGGGGACTAGAGAGTAATTTTTTTAACCAGATGAGTTTATTAAAGCCTGTGTCTAACAGACTCATAAGAATGCACTGCCTGAGCAGTCATTTCTAGATCTGCTCAGAACCTTGGGAGCAGGGGGGCCATGGAAGGTGTCTGGTTCACACACCTCTGCTTGAATGTATTCCCCAGCCACCTATACTGGATTCATACCTGGTGGGAGTAGCACCCAGGCAATCAGGTAGTTCCTTCCTTTTCTGTGGGGAGTTGTTAGGGCCTAAGGGCCCTTCACCACTGGTCTTTTGCAGAAAAACAAAAGGAATTAAGGAGTCCCCCTTCTTTGTCATCTGGCACTATCACATACCCTGGCTGCCCTCTGGCAGCAGCCTACCCTTTCTGCTGTAATTTGTTTTTCCTGCAACTTCCCTTCCTCAGCACTTCCAGCTGGCCCTCTGGGTTTTGGAGGGCTCTTCCTCTTCTTCAGCTTGGGATCATTTGTGAAAATTTCATTTGAGCAGTAAGAAATGGGAATTCTCCATTTGGTTGTGATTTTCCTCTGGAGCAGGGGTTCTTAACATAGGGGTCCATAGCTCGAGAGGGTGGGGCCCAACGACAATTAGAATGAGACCTGTAACTTTAGGCGGCTGCTAAAATTCACTGCTTTTCTGTGGCTCCTATCATTGCTGGCCCGGAGGAAGGAAAACTTCCCTGGGAAAACTTCCCTGGGGGAAGCTACCATTGGGGACTTGGGACTGAGGCAGGTAGCCCAGCTTCAGCACCGAACAGTCAAGCCTACGTTTCCTGTGACCTTTTTGGAACACTGCAGGCTCAAAACAATGGAGTCTCCGCGCAGGTTAAGTTCTATGTGAAGCCGTATTCCCATATGGGTATATTATCCAGCTTGGAAATCAGCATCCCAACCTCTGAGCTTCAGCTTCCCTACCTATAACATGACGTTGACCCAGTACTAGCATGGTAGGCAGGGATGGAGGAAGGCAGTGGTTCAGTGGGACCCTAGATTCTCCCAACATCTTGGATTTTTTGTTTTTCAGGAAAAAAGCTTGTAAGTACTTTGAGCAAGGCAAGGGGACCTGCCCATTTGGAAGCAAATGTCTTTACCGCCACGCTTACCCTGATGGGCGGCTAGCAGAGCCTGAGAAACCTCGGAAACAGCTCAGTTCTGAAGGCACTGTGAGGGTAAGGACTTCGCCGTCTCTAGTCAGGAACACTTACCTACCTGTGGGCATTTCTAGTTACTGCTCCTGGCCCTTTTTCTAATAGTTTTGGCAACCAGAAATAAAAGAAAAAAGAAGCTACCCAGCCTTCATATTGCCATTTTTAATAAGCAGGCATGTTTGCTGGCTATTTTTGCAGTTCTTCAATTCAGTGCGGCTCTGGGATTTCATCGAGAACCGAGAAAGCCAGCATGTCCCCAATACTGAAGATGTCGACATGACAGAGCTTGGGGACCTCTTCATGCACCTGTCTGGAGTAGAGTCATCAGAACCCTGAAGAACAGATGGTCGCCCCTGCATTTTGGGCTCCGGCAGCAGAGCCTTTCCCAACTAGGGTGTGCAGAGCTTCCTTTACTGCAGCCCCAGGTAGTGTGTTGATTGGATTGGAGTGGGGTTGTATTTAACCTTGGTCTCATCCATTCTCCATTACATCCATGCAAAGAGTGAAGGATGTAAAATAACAAGTATATGGAATCACTACTTTTATAGTTGATATTTTAGTTGCACCTCAGGCTCCTCAGGGGGACCAGCTAAATAGTCAGACTGAGTTTTGATTGATTGCTTTTAAAACAAACTTGGCTCCTGTCTTTTATGAGCCTTAGCTCACTAGAAACTAGTCAACTTGCAGTTGCCCCTAAAGTAGATTTCTTTTTCTTACCAAAGGATTCTTCACACCTAAAAATGATTCCTATAGTGAATTTCCATAGTACTTAACTAGTGTGTGGTCAAAACTTGATCTATACAGGGCTTTTTCAGAAACAAAAAATGGGCACTGTACCCCTTAGTGTCCCAAATCAGAGCAGGAGTCTTGTTGTCGTATAGTCAGTAAGCAAAATATAAACCTTCTTCCTTGGGGGTGGGGGTGGGGGTGAGGTGGAGGCTCTTGAAGTAGCAGGAAGTACAGGGTTGTAGAGCAGAGGTACAGCTCCTCATTTCTGGTTGGCGTGGCCACGACTGGAGGAAACCTTGCACACGTGCCTCCAGGGAAACATGTCCCTAGCTCTCCCCTGTGGGCACGGGCTCCAAGGTAATCCTACTGAGGGCTTCGTACACACATGCTCTTGTGTGCGCTTCCTGCCCAAGCCATCTAATCTTAAGCTGTAAAAAAATTTCTTGTTCTGACCCAACAACACTGGTCCTGAGCATGACTTTTATCATCAGTTATGGTTTTAATTGAAGGAACATAGTCTTGTGAATCAGAACAAACTCACTCTAAGCCGGAATTACCTATTTTTATAAAACAGCTATAGATATCAAATATTTTGTAAAATGCATTAAAGTGTGGGTAGAAAAAAAGGTCTATTCTTACCTGAGTTTAAGAGTGCTTTATGCATAATTTTTATAGTTAACTCTTTAGTGAAGGGTGACAAAGAGCACAGGCAAAGGCTGAATTAAATTCACTCCCGGCAGAGGCTCTGGGCCCATTTCCTGCTTGAGTCCTGTTCCAGAAGGGATGAACAAATGGAGAGTTCAAGCTGTGAGCTTAATATTATTCTAAAAGGAAGAAACAGCCAGTAAGCCTACATTTAATTTATTTTATTAAAATAACATAATTGAGGAACCATTGGATAACTGTATTTTGTCAGGCGCAATAAAAACAAAATTAAAACCCAAATCATCAAGAAAACCTGTATTCTTGGCTTCCTTGCATACACATGACGTGGCTGTTGAGATACAAAGCTGGCCGGTGGCCCCGCCCCATAGGGGCAGCTCCTGGAAGACAAAATTCAGCATGATGGAAGACTGCTCCCTGAGAGAGCGGAGACCGGGAGGGGCAGGCCAGGCATCTCTTCTGGAAAACCATCCAATGCACTGGAGACCTCCAAGAAAAGGAAGGGTCCCCAAACTCAAGTTCCATAGTACCAAAGCAGACTCCTTTAGGCGGCCGTGGTCTCGACAGTCCTGGGCTGTTTGGTGCATTATGTGCAAAACTACCTGTTTGGCGCCACACCACTNGCCCCTAAAGTAGATTTCTTTTTCTTACCAAAGGATTCTTCACACCTAAAAATGATTCCTATAGTGAATTTCCATAGTACTTAACTAGTGTGTGGTCAAAACTTGATCTATACAGGGCTTTTTCAGAAACAAAAAATGGGCACTGTACCCCTTAGTGTCCCAAATCAGAGCAGGAGTCTTGTTGTCGTATAGTCAGTAAGCAAAATATAAACCTTCTTCCTTGGGGGTGGGGGTGGGGGTGAGGTGGAGGCTCTTGAAGTAGCAGGAAGTACAGGGTTGTAGAGCAGAGGTACAGCTCCTCATTTCTGGTTGGCGTGGCCACGACTGGAGGAAACCTTGCACACGTGCCTCCAGGGAAACATGTCCCTAGCTCTCCCCTGTGGGCACGGGCTCCAAGGTAATCCTACTGAGGGCTTCGTACACACATGCTCTTGTGTGCGCTTCCTGCCCAAGCCATCTAATCTTAAGCTGTAAAAAAATTTCTTGTTCTGACCCAACAACACTGGTCCTGAGCATGACTTTTATCATCAGTTATGGTTTTAATTGAAGGAACATAGTCTTGTGAATCAGAACAAACTCACTCTAAGCCGGAATTACCTATTTTTATAAAACAGCTATAGATATCAAATATTTTGTAAAATGCATTAAAGTGTGGGTAGAAAAAAAGGTCTATTCTTACCTGAGTTTAAGAGTGCTTTATGCATAATTTTTATAGTTAACTCTTTAGTGAAGGGTGACAAAGAGCACAGGCAAAGGCTGAATTAAATTCACTCCCGGCAGAGGCTCTGGGCCCATTTCCTGCTTGAGTCCTGTTCCAGAAGGGATGAACAAATGGAGAGTTCAAGCTGTGAGCTTAATATTATTCTAAAAGGAAGAAACAGCCAGTAAGCCTACATTTAATTTATTTTATTAAAATAACATAATTGAGGAACCATTGGATAACTGTATTTTGTCAGGCGCAATAAAAACAAAATTAAAACCCAAATCATCAAGAAAACCTGTATTCTTGGCTTCCTTGCATACACATGACGTGGCTGTTGAGATACAAAGCTGGCCGGTGGCCCCGCCCCATAGGGGCAGCTCCTGGAAGACAAAATTCAGCATGATGGAAGACTGCTCCCTGAGAGAGCGGAGACCGGGAGGGGCAGGCCAGGCATCTCTTCTGGAAAACCATCCAATGCACTGGAGACCTCCAAGAAAAGGAAGGGTCCCCAAACTCAAGTTCCATAGTACCAAAGCAGACTCCTTTAGGCGGCCGTGGTCTCGACAGTCCTGGGCTGTTTGGTGCATTATGTGCAAAACTACCTGTTTGGCGCCACACCATCTCTGAAGAAAAAGTCCTTTCTGTGATAAGCATTCCTCATAGGAGCTGATATTCAAAATCCAAAATCCGTGTGTCCCTCCATCAGGGCTGGTTTGCCTACCTTCATTTCACCTCTGAGGGCTTTTTCTTGCCCTGAAAATACTCATTTAGCCAATGGCCGGGGTCCCAGATCATATATTGCCATCAGCAGCCACTGGTATATTTGAAGAAGGCTCAGCTCATGAGCATGGAGGACACAGGACAAACCAGCATGGTGAATGGCTTCCTTCTCCCAGGACCAGAAAGGGTAGAAAAGGCAACATGAAGTAAGGCCCTGTGAGTAGTCTAGAGGTCCTTAGCAGCAGCTTCTCTGGAAACAAGCTTTCTGCTCCCACAGAAAGGGAACAGAAAGGTGGTGCCTGCTGACTTTCCTTCCTCCCCCGGTGGCCTGAGTGCAGGTGCAAAGTCAGCTAGAAGACAGGCAGTCTAGGAGACGTGGTCAGCGTGCAGGCATTGATATCCTCAGTGTGGGCCGCCCGATGCAGGGATGGCTCAGAAGCGCTCCGGTTGATTTTCGGTAGAGAGTGTTGGAGCAGCTCAATGGAAGACAGGATCTGAAACAAAGCCACAAAAATGGTCTCCTTACGTGGGCCTTGGCGTTTCCATAGCAGCAGTTTTCCATCAGGAATCCAAAGACAGGCTGTTCTCTTCACCCCACCTGTAACATCTTGTGGAGAACACGAGCCCCTCCCTATTTGAAAAAACAAACACCATACTTCCTCCTCGTAATTAAGAACTCCTGCTTTAATTTAATCAGTCCCAGCATCTTTGAGCTGAGTCTTACCTGGGGAAAAAGGGGCCTCTCTTCCTTAACTTTCTTCACACAGTCGGCTACAAGCCGCTTCATTGCTTTGGGGCAGTTCTTGTACAGCTTACTAAGGTCTGGGGATGCATACCCTCGGCCCACCATGAAGATGATCTAAGGGAGAGAAAACAGTTGAGGGAAGGGATGATTAAACAACACTGAAAGCAGCAGCTTCCAACCCTCTAGTTGCTCAGACTGGCAGGAGGCCCAGGGGCTTCCACAGCAAGTTCGTTCCTTTAGTGACAGTGCGCATACCTGATCTCGGTTGTTGATGTGGGAGTAAGGTAGCTCCCCTGTCATGAGCTCATACAGCACAATGCCATAGGAGTAGACGTCAGACTGGAAGCTGAATGGGTTATTATCCTGCATTCGGATCACCTCTGGGGCCTACAAGGACAAAGTGCATTTGTCACTATCTGGGCCCCTCACATCCAGGGGCCAAACTTTCCCTTCCCTTCCATTCCATTTTGTATGAGTCCTTTCCTCTGCCCTCTATACCTTGTCCCTAAAGGGCCCACCAACGCCCTCAGGGGCTGGCTTATTCGAGCTCAGGAATCCTAGTCTCTGGGATCCAGCACTTTCACCTAACTCTCCTCCAAGCTATGCTTCAGCATGGTTCTGATCAGCTTCCTCCAGGAAACCCAAATTCACCCCAGCCTGTCTGACATCATCGAAAGCATCACTGAGGTGGCCTGGACTTGGGAGAAATGTGGAGCAATGCTTTAAGTTTTGCACACACACAGATCTCCAGGGTACCCCTTCTTCCCTGCACCCTCCTAGTGGGAGCCTCGCCTCCTCACCATCCACAGGATAGAGCCGGTGGGTTGTTCAACCTGCTGAGAACCACTCCAGCGTGACTTTACTGTTGCCAAACCAAAATCTCCAATTTTCACTGTCAGGCCTTCATGGAGAAATATATCTCAATGCTTGTTAAGGACTCTGGTTTCAAAACACTGGTCAAGTTAATTTTGAAAAACTTACCAAAGTTCTTATTAGCACAGCATCTCTCCACTTCCCATCTGCCCCCCAAGCCTTCTCTGTACTGGATTTGCTAGGATTTCTGAAGTTTTAAAAAGTGCTTTTGAGCCTGGGCAGTATGGCTCAGCAGTTGAGTGTCGACCCAGGAACCAAGAGGTCACTGGTTCAATTCCCGGTCGGCACATGCCTGGGTTTAGGGCTCAATCCTCAGTGGGGTTGTGTGGAGGAGGGAGCTGATCAATGATGTTTCTCATCGATGTTTCTATCCCTCTCCTTTCCTCTCGCTCTAAAAATCAATAAAATCTAAGTGCCTTTGAAATGTCCCTTCTTCATACACAAGGAATGCTCGGGAGTGCAAGATGACTTGGCTCCAGCCCGAAACGGCCATTTTCCCCCTGCTGCTTCTCCCCATTTACACATCTAGGTGCCAGGTCCCTGGCCTGTGACCTTCCCACATAATGTAGGTGCCTTAAACCCCAAGACTTGTAAGAGTGCAGGCTGCCTTCCAGTGCACCTCAGAACTGCGCACAGCCTGCTGGTTGCTTACATTCACTTCTGCCTGCATTCTGCCCTCAAATGACATGTGAATAGCAAAATAGAAAATCCCTCAGTGAGTGCTGAATGCTGTCCTAAGACACTTAGTCACTTCAAAATCAGAACCAAACTCCCTTCATTTCTAGGGAAAGAAGTCAGTCAGTTTAAGGCTGTCTTATGATCTGCTGCTCAGTAATTCACACCTCCTTAAAGTCTATGGTGTCCGCTTTCATGGCATGTGTTGGTCCCCAAAAAAACTACTAAAGTATTCCATGCCTCAGACATGTACCCCAAGTAAGCCATGTCCCACAATCGACCTCAACACAACTGTTGTGCCTGTCATGGCCAAGAAGCAAAGTTCAGCTGTAATGCCACACTCCTTTCCAAGGGAGGGAGATGTAAAATACCTTAATTCATTATTTCTACAAAAGCACATGAAGTCTTAGAGAGGGGAAGGGTTGATTCTAATAGTAACCTCTAAAGGAAACTATTTCTGTACATTTAAGACAGACAATTATACGTAGTAATTTTTAAAATCTTATATTTGGTTTACAGCTGCATTCTGACCAGATACACACACACACTCCACAAACTAGGAAAAAAAAACATGAAAGGCAAAAAAGCGCCATCCCCCCCACGCCAAGTTAAATTAGTAATAAACAGCATAATAAAACGACCTATTTCAAGCATAACCCAAACACTTATCTCAACTCTTGTGGAAATCTTCCCAAGGCCATTTTTCGCTGAGATAACTTTCAAAGTCTCCCTTCTGTTTCCCTAAATTTAGAATTGAGCAGTCAAATGAAACCACCACCAAAGGATACTGTTGGATTTCATGTCTCTGTGGATGATGTTCTTTGCATGCAAATAGCTGTGAAGGGAAAATAACAATTAAAAACAGTTTATGGGGCATAGCTAGAAAGCAGCTTCCAACTACAGCTACAAAGCAAAGCACCTGAAGGCCTGGCTCCCACTGCACTGGTTTGGTGGG